CGCTTTCACTGCCTGCGAGATTGTCATTCTGGGTAAACTAGCCGCTGTATTTTCGACAACATTCTTAATTTTCGTTAATATTTTCATTCTTTATTTATATAGGGGTACACAAACACAAAACAAAATTTAAACGACGTGAAAACAAATGATAAAGTGACTGCCCATATATGCTAAAATATTTCACTGGCAGCAAAGGCGCTGTGTAATTCAAATCATAACGACATAGTTATGATAATGGAACAGAAAGTCCATAGGACTGATCACATCTTTTTAAACTTGCCTCAAATAAAAATTTTTAGAAATCTATGCCTTTCGTTCAAAATGAAGATACTATATAACAGCAAAATCAATATGACACTGGATAAAATACAATTCAAAACAATATGCAAGAACAAGAAAAACCTATAAGTCATATTAGAATGCAGATTAATACTAGAGAAGGATAAAATGCCAGAATTATGTCTTTAAAACATATTTTTACTACCTTGTTTTGAAGTCATCAGGTGCAAATAGAAGCCATATACCGCTTTTTTAGTACTAAACAAACACATTTTGTGTGTCAGCGCCCAGACTCCTTATTTGAACACTAAACTCCACAGCACTTGTACTGCTCCTACCACCAAGAACTAAGACTGGTTATATTCTGAGCTGTAATTACTGTCTTATGTAGCTCATAAAATAGCCCATTTTTTCAGTATCTGCGTTGCTGTATAATGGTACTTAAAAACCTAAAAAATTGAGCCGGTGCAAAATAAAATTCCTTAAATGCCTTTTTCGACTTGAGATGTTCATGTAGATTGTAAAAAAAATGGCTTAATTTTTTTTGAGCACCCGCCCGCGTTGGTGCTTGATGTGTCCTTTATCCTATTTGAAACTTGAGACCTCGAAGCGACTGCCAATAGTTGAGTCAGTGTTAATAATAAAAGTATTGTCTCACTTGATTCTTTGATTCCATCTAAAAATTGAAATATCTGTTTCCTCATGAAGCTAGAAGACATGAAGCTTTTGATACTGGTATTGATTAAATTATTGATATTTTTTGTAGCAAATAGTATATCAATTAAATGGTGAACGTAATATATAATTGAACGTAATTTGCTCCCGTATAAGTTATGAAATGCTCGTAAGCAAAATAGTTCATTTTAAATGCAACAGGCGTCTTTAATACGATTGTAATATGTTCTTTATTTTTTTAATTTGGGATATTAATTATACTCAAACAATCATGCAGGGGACAAAATCTATCAAGATGGTGACTTTTGCGTCAGCTAATTATATAACAATTTTTTAAGCACAAAACCACTGTATCATTGGACAGCTATCTGCCATTACTATCCTGTTATTAATAATTACAATTAAAGATAGCTAGTTAAGCCTTGATTTCTGAACCATTGATTTAATGTCGCATCGCGAATACGATCTGACTTTGATACCAGCTTTCGTTGTATGTATACTTGAATGAAGCTTGGTGGCCGAGCGTTGCTCGTTATGCCGCCTATTGATGCAACTCAGCGCCGACAAATCCCTGGCTTTAGACTTGCGTATTTTACGGTAGATCGCACTAGTGTGCCTGTTAGTGTTGGCATTGATTGCGTGGAACAGGAAGTGTGACAACTTCATATGTGTAGCTGCATGAGGGATGCAATAGGCTCGACGAGGCTTATAGTAATTCGCCAATGCGATGCTCGTTAACAGGTTATAATTGTGGTTCAAAGTTATATCCGGACTGTGAGATTTGTTTCTCAATTTAAGCCTGTCATCAATGAACATGGTGATGTTTTTCTATTTACTCTGCATGGCGAATTGTTCAAATTTTCAGTATATGCCGTAGTTAAATGTTTATTTGATATTCCTTGAACATGTTACGTACATCAATAAAGTGTGATAGGACCAAAATGAGAAAAGTAGAAGAATGCATACATTTTGTAGTGATAGGCTTTTTCTATTGGAGAATCATGAATAATAATTATATATAACATGACTAATATTATAGAGCGTCCGCATACAGGCTACGAGAAGTTGTATCCGCGATGTGTGAACGTATGAGTAGCGTGGTACGTGACTGAAGTGAATCATAATCTTTCGCATCAAAATTTTCTAATATGAGCTTAAGCCATGGAGAATTCAAACTTTTTTCGGATATTAAAATATTTTTTAATACTCGTTAATACTCGTTTTTTCGGACTCTCGTTTTCTTTCTTGATGCTTGCCTGGACGAAAGTATCTTGATCCTTGTTATATATTAAATCGTTATCTTCATATATAAATTGGTCAAAGCGCACTACATAAGTTATTTTTCAATTGTATAGGACGAGCGGGTGTGGTGTTGAGGAATACAGTGAAGAAGCTAGAGGTTTTATTGTGCGGTCTGTGGTTAGAAATTAGTGACGGCCAACGGTGGTGGCATAGAACGCACGGCCAATATCTTTCTGATGATGTGTATATAACTCAAACCTGAACTACTCACTGATTGCCTCTCTCGCTCTGCCTTCTCATCAGTTGTCATTTGACCTTGGCCACGAGTGAGCGTACGTGTGTGTTATTCGAGACATGACGTGATCATCCTGTGTTACTTGTCAAATGATTGCACTTTTAAACAACCTATTTGGCACTGAAGTTTTGGCTTTTAATGTGTGCATAATTTAAAAGAAAATGATGGAATGATTTGAATGAACGCATCAATTTGATATTATAATATTCTACACATTCTTCAAACCTATGCACATTTTCTGTCTTGTTATTTGTCCATCAATTTTTGACCACAATACTAAAGCAGTTCTGTTAGTTAAGTGGAAATATTTGTCAGCAGCGTCGTTGGTGTGTTCTTATCTTGGATCATGCCAGGACAGTGGTTATAGGTACCCTAACAAGAGACTTGATTTACATTTGACACCGTCAATCAACTTGCATGGCTATAATTTTATCTTGAAATATCTTTTTATTACACCGCTCTGAAACCGTTACCAAACTAGCATGTCTAATTAAATTTGCACCGAGTTTCCAATTTATAGTACATTCCAGGGTACTTTGGAAGTGCTCTCTTTGTTCCCAAGTGTTGTTATTGGAAGTGTTTGTAGATCATGTTTCCCTACCTTTCTACATGCATAACAAAATTTTATTAATTACTTTTATTGCGGCCGTGAGTGCTTTATCTGCTTATGCATGTGCCAGGCTTTTGACTTACCAACGTTCTTATTGTTTCAGAGTATAGTGAATGGAAAATCCGTTGACGTAGCCAATTAGTTCAAGTTTGCCCCCCAAAGGCTCATAGTCATTTGCTCGTAGCTTCGAATGTTTAACAAGGTTTGTAACTCATTGATTAGATGTGATTGGTGTCTACGAGTTCTGTAATTACGCAACATCCGGCAGGTTTGACGGATGTAGTGTAAGATAAAGTAAATGTAAAAGAAGGTCCACCTTTCGACACCAAATAAAAGTAGCAGTTATCTATTGATTTATTTCTAATTGTTTGGTTAATTGAGTTTTTGTGCTATAATGTACACAATTCTCTATTATGTGATTTATTTAATATTGGTAGTTGCCTATTTGCGACTGCGTTATCAAGGCAGTGAGCGTTCACCGGCATCTCTAATCTAAGAGCTGCTTAGATGGGCTATCTCGCGAGGTGATTTTAAGAAGTGTTTCGCCTTTACTATTATAGTTAATTGTAATGTTTGGTCCATTCTAGCTTTCTATTATTAACCCTTGTGAGACTGAGTAGTTCCATACCATACTTAATCCATATTTAAATATCGATAACTTATAACTTCATTTCGAAAAATAGCAGAGACTGAAACTTTGTGACATCTCTGCAGGTTTGGTGCTTAATGTATAGACCAAATTTCAATAAAACTTTTTCACCTCCTTACGAGCTAAAAGTAAAGAAATTTTTGCATCAGTAACAGGCTGAATAGGCACAATTGTACTTTCATATATTTTGACCAAAGATAATCTACGGAAAAATTTATATTTTTTTCTGATCCATTAACAATGGAATGCTCCGTAGTTTTTTCATTTAACGAGGAAGATTTATTGAGGCATTAGACAATAGGTACAGAAATGGGTTTATTATGAAACGTCGAATGTGCTCAGTGACAAACGACACGTTGTGTTCTTTGGTGGTTCTTTGATACTCCGCTCAAGGGGCGATTTTCTGTCAAAGAGAGGGTTTGGTTCTTGCAAACATTCTACTTTAGATTACGCACACAGAGTGAATTTGTCATTGGTCTTTCTGATAAGTAACAGGCTTGATGAATGAAAATGAATTTTATTTTCGAGGGCCCGTTATTTAATTTCCCTAGTTTGCACGCGTATTCCATGAACGAATATGGTATGAAATTAGGTGCTAGTACTACTATGATTAGTTGAGGAAGTCGGAAGGCGTTCGTTATTTGTAACTTATTGAACCAATTAATCGATTTTCATATAATTTGAGCTTGCTTGACTGAAATATCTCCTTTTGCTTGTGCAAACAGTCGTCGAGACGTCGACTTGAATCTATGACTGACATCGTGCAGAGCGCTAAGAACAATTTGCGTATGTGCCATCTTCATCTGAGACCATAAATCCTGCTCTTATAATCGTACTGATAACTGATGTGTCGAGAAGTATATATTATTTGTTAATCGCTCCATCCTTGCGCTCAGTTTGAAATGTATATCAAATTTGAAATAAACGTTTATGCGTTGTCGAGTAGAAACCTTAATAGTTTTCTGATAAATATTAGTATCGTGCTTTGGGGTTTATGGGTGTCCATGTTTCAGGTTGTCGAGTCGAAACGTTACTTGTTTTCTTATGAGTATTTGTATCGTGCTTGGTGGTATATGGGTGTCCATGTTTCGGGTTGAGTTGAAACGTTACTAGTTTTCTGATGAGTATTTGTATCGTGCTTGCATGGTGGTATATGGGTGACCATGTTTCAGGTTGTCGAGTAGAAACCTTACTAGTTTATGATAATTATTAGTATCATGCTTGGTGGTATATGGGTGTCCATGTTTCAGATCAAGCAGCTACGAGACTCTGGGTACTGCTTGGACGGCAGCAGTTCCCCCAGCGCCGCTGTACAGCAGGAAGAAGTCTCCAGCTCAGCGCCTACCAGTCTACTCAACAACACTCTCATCAGTCCTCTAGTGCTAGAGGTAAAACTCCACCTCACTCAACTTAATCATAATTTATCTTTATTTCCGCTTTAATTACTCTCAATTACACGTAACCTTGTAGGTTATTTACTAGTTTCTTTATTTCTACCATCAACATGCATTGCGTATTTACTTCTTGCGTGCGATAAGTGCGGCGATTCAAAATAATATTTTTCTTCAATGCGGTACCCATGGCCCATGAACACGAGGATTCAGCAAGAGTTTCGACCCGAGTAATTTCCATATGATTGGACCGCCAGATTGACCGTAGCGTTTACGAGTATTCATTGGATGGGCGGTGAGAAGAATACCAAGCGTTCTTTTGTGGTATTTATTGCCTTCTTCCTGAGGAAATCGTTTGTACCTCCACTGGGTTCTGGTGAGCCTTAAAACCGAATCCTATTGTGCATGCCGGTCTAGCGGTGCACGGTAATGTCACCTAACCACCGTGACGTCGGCTTGTTGCTGAGATACCCGCGTTTCTCAAGCCTTATTGGTGTGACATTTTTTACATATTATATATAATAAGGCTCAATATGACGTTATATATAATAAGGCTCAAAAATATATATAATATGTCATACAGGCTCAAGCCTTATTGGTGTCGCCTAACCACCGTGACGTCGGCTTGTTGCTGAGATACCCGCTCGCCTTCTCAAGCCTTATTGCTTTCTAGTGTGATTTATCAAGTGTATGCATTATTCCCTATTTATATTGATTGTAAATTGGCGACGAAGTTGGTTGATTTTATATTGATTGTAAGTTGGCGACGAAGTGCTCTTTGAACGTTGATTTTTAACCAAATTTTAGGCGAGAGGAATTTATGACCGGTATAAATTGCTCATATATAGTGGAAGATGTTAAAAGGGAAATAACTTGCTCCTGCTGAGTTATAATTTGCTCTTACTGAGAGATTCATGGTTGATACTGGTAGATAACTTTTTTCCACTGGAGATAACTTGCTACTACTTTAAGACTCCTCAAAATCTACTTGTTGCGAAGGTTTATTGTCCAATTTGGGTGATTTCTTGATCATACTGAGAAAATAACCATCTGCACTGAGGAATTTTCTGCACGTTCTTGGACGGCCGCGATATAATATCCTACATTATTCTAACACCAACAAATCTGATGAAGATCAATAGAATAAGAACATTTACAGAAGCCACGTCACGGCATAACGAGTTGCGTCGGAACGGTAGCAGGGAAGAAGCCCTAGTGTTCCTGTTCTTTCTATGCCTTGGTAGTTTTCGTGAGACTTGTTTCCGCTATTTGCCTTATTTTGAATGTTTCAAAAAGGCTTTATGTATTCTTCAAGACTTTCAAGCCCTCATAAATGCGAACGAGTTGTAGCGAGTGTGGTGCATGTAAGAGTGGTGCGTGCAGCGAGTGTGGTGCGTGTAGCGAGTGGGGTGCATGCAGCGAGTGTGATGCGTGCATTTATTTAATACTCAACACATGAAGATTCACGTAATGCAACGCTTTTTATAAATATCTGCCGTATCGGCGTGAAATGCAATTGTACGGTAAATTGTATTTCACATATGCAGCAAAGTGTACGGTAAATTTGATCTCAATAAAGCTGCATAGAAAGGTCCTCATTACGATAAAATCAGCTACACAGAAGAAATCATGCGCGCTGGCACTGGCGCGAACGTTCATAGTTTTCGTTCCGCAAGTTTCCCCTTCCTGCCGCCGCCGCCGCCGCCGACATTCTTCCGTGACGTACGATAGCTTCACACGCTGCGAAATTTCCATTTGAAGTGCAGCTTTTGTTAGGTAGGATTAGCAGATCGTCGTTATGATTGGCATTGGTCGCAGAATTGTTACGAGGAACTAGTGCGCTGTGTGGTTCTTAGGAGGTTGACGGTGATAGCGTTCGTTTGTACGTTTGGCTGACGAGTGAGTGTCTTACGTGCGTACGTACGTGAGCTGCTGCATCGCAGGCTCCGTGGCCGGCAGCGTAAGTCCTGAGCGCCGCTCACGAGCCTCCGAGCTACTACACCTGTGCACCACTGCTGCTGTTGCTGCTCCACCTCCACTGCTGCTGTTGCTGCTACACCTCCACTGCTTGCTGTTGCTGCTCCACCTCCACTGCTGCTGTTGCTGCTACACCTCCACTGCTGCTGTTGCTGCTACACCTCCACTGCTGTTACTGTTCCCTCCATCTCTTGGGACTCTGTTGGCTCTGCAGTGCGACATTTACCCCAACATCTTTTCAAGTGCTGTTTTCGAGACAGTTGCTGCTATTATTCGTTATTCCTGCTGCTGTTGATTTATCAAGCCGCCTTACAGCGACCGTGGCTGTTCGATGGAACATCCAACATTCGAATATGTGTGATAACCACCAACGTATCAATATTTTATAACGTATTATATTATTTATTGTGACACGTAGTCGTTCCCAGCTGGCTGTTTTGATAGTAAGATGCATGTGAACGAGAATATCCTTATATCTATTGGCCATTTATATATTTCAGATTTTGATAGCATGTAATTACAATTAGCTTTGAATCCACTGTTTTTCATGTAACAACTGACATAACGCTTAGTGTATGATTTTTGTGATAGTATTTAATTACATTTAGCGTCCAACCCACTATTTTTCTCAGAGATGTAACTACTGACATGACGCTGAGTGTATGAATTTTGTGATAGCATGTAATTACATTTAGCTTCCAATCCACTATTTTCTCAGAGATGTAACTACTGACATGACGCTGAGTGTACCCTAACAAAATTTAGAGTCGCCCCAGCTTCTGGTACCGTAATCAAAATCAGAAGCTGCCGCGTCTGTAAATTTTCACTGAGTATGAATTTTGTTGCAGGCGCTGGACGGCTTCTTGTTCCTGGTGAACAGAGACGGCAAGGTTGAGTATTGCTCCGAGAACGTGAAGCAGTTCATTAAGTTCACTGCTGAGGAACTCACCGCTCAGAGCATCTACAACATCCTTCACCTCGGCGACCATAACAAGTTCTCCAACACCTACGTCAGCTTCGGTCAGTACAGTGTACATACATTACAATGAAGAGAGTTCATTACAGTGTACTGTACTCTCTCTCCTTCAATTGTACGACTGGCTGCGTGCGTTAGATTCGGTCATTACATTGTACATACATTACAGTGAAGGAGAGTACATTACAGTGTACTGTACTCTCCTTCAATTGTACGACTGACTACGTGCGTTAGCTTCGGTCAGTACAGTGTACAGACATTACAATGAAGAGAGTACATTACAGTGTACTGTACTCTCTCTCCTTCAATTGTACGACTGGCTGCGTGCGTTAGCTTTGGTCAGTACAGTGTACATACATTACAATGAAGGAGAGTACATTACATTGCACTGTACTCTCCTTTAATTGTACGACTGACTGCGAGCGGCAGCATCGGTCACGCCCTTCCAGTTGTATAATTTTAATTCAATCGCACTGATCGTTTACTGAAAAATATATTTTTAAAATAATGTCAGTTGTTCGATAAATTTACCATTTATTTAATTAATACGTCATTTCTAACTTCCAAACTACATGCGAGTCTCTTAATATTGTAATTGTATGTGTAAAAAGTTAATGATATTGTACGATGCTTTAATACTAGAGCTATAAAACGAAAAAATAAAAACGGCAGATAAAAAAAAAAATAAAAAATAAAAACGACAGATAAAAATCTATGTACCCTTATTTTGTCAGAAAAGAGTTTTGGCAAATCCTTTGATTTTTCATGACAATAATCCTAGTTTGTATGTATATTGATTGTATGCATGTATATTTATTGTATGTATGTATATTCATTGTATGCACGTACCGGTATACTTATTGTAGCTATGTATATTTATCATAAGTATGTATATCTATTATATGTTTACGTCGCAGCGTTTCTTTGTATGTATGAATATATATTGTATGTATGTATACTCTACAGCGTGGCCAGACGAGGAGAGCGGGGGCGGGGGTCGGCGCAGCTTCAACTGCAGGTTCCTCATCAAGCCTCCCGACCGCGCCGACCAGACCGTGCAGCACGTGCAGCAGTATGAGCACATGCAGGTGCGTGCAGCAGTAACATGCAGGTGCGTGCAGCACGTGCAGCAGTATGAGCACATGCAGGTGCGTGCAGCAGTATGAGCATGGCCCAGTGGTTACAGTTCAGAGTACCAAGATTGGCGCAGAGAGGCGCGGGTTCGATCCCAGCTCTGTGCGCCAGTTTCTGGTCAGAATCGGCAAGGAGGCCGGGCGGTTAAGCACAGCAGAATTGTAGCAGTGAGTTGCGAGTTCGAGACCGCAACAAGCTGTGAATGTTCTGCGATTATGAATCGGCGACAGGCCTACAGACTAATAAATGCTGAAACCGCTATATTATATTAATATAAATGCTCTCTTGCAAGGCAAATGTTCTTGCTTCGCCCCTTAGGCCTAAGTGCCACTGACTCCTTATCTCTATATACTATATACTATACACTATATATACTACATACTATATATACTATATACTATACTGACTGCCACTGACTCATTATCTGCTACGACGTCTGTGCTGGGACTTGCCATTGACACTTGGCGACGACTAAGCATATATCAATTCAAGTCATTCCTTATAATCGACTAGCGTATTTCACTTAGTCATATGACTGGAGTAATAAATAGGCTATACGCATACTTGCGCATACGCCTTGCACTTGAATAAAAATTTGGCATATTGTTCACGGTTTTCGCGTACAAGATGAACGATTTTTCTCTGATATTGGTTTAAATAATAAGTGACGGTATATGTGCTTGAAATTTCAATCATTGCTGGTCATTTACGTGTTGTATTCGTTTTATAATTATTGTTACCGTTTTGTAAATATCTTCCTGATTAATTATGAGGGACGAAGAATTGTAATGCTTGATGTAAAAACTTTCTAAGTATGAATATCTGCCACTATAAACTAGGCAACTTATCTACGCTGAAATTACATCAATTGGTAACAATTATGGTTCTAGTGACATTTTTCAGATCTCAATTATGATATAAGTGAGGACTGAAAATATTAGTGAATCGCGAAAAGCCATCATTAGCTCTCAACAATATAATTTGGTAAGATTCTTGACGTATCTGTCCACGGCCACGCTAGGGTATCGTCTTCATTCACCACAATGAATAATTTCTACATTTAGACTCGGTAACTTAGGCTCATCAACTTAGCAGTAAATTAGACTCAGTAACTTATAGCAGTAACTTAGACTCAGTAACTTAGCAGTAACTTTAGACGCAGTAACTTAGCAGTAAATTAGACTCAGTAACTTGGGATAACGGATGTTACCCCTCCCTCAATCATCATATGAACAACATAATACCATTGCAAACTTCGTCTTTTATCGCAACAAATCCTGACCCAATCCTACTACGCAGGTGTCGCCTGTGCTGCTGAAGGACTACCCAGGATCCGAAGACTCGCACGGTCTCGACAAGGACGGTCAACCATACATCTTCTGTGTCGCTCGACGAGTTAACTCGACAACAGACTGTCAGGGCGCCCCCGTCGAGCAGTTCAGCACCAAACTCGACACTCAGTACCGTATTATTTCAATTGATAGTTCGGGACTGTCACCGCGATACTCTAGTTTCCTCGACAAGGAGCTTGTGTCCAAGACCTTCACGGAGCTCGTACACGAGGCGGACATCGAGCGAGTTAAGGCTCACTTCAAGGAGGTGCTTGCCGGCACTCCTGCCGTGTCGCCCGTATACCAGCTCAAGGTGATTATTGTTGATTAGGTGTATAATATTGATTAGGTGGATAATATTGATTAGATGGATAATATTGATTAGGCGAATAATATTGATTAGTTTATGGGTAATACGTTGCTAAACTAGATTTACTGGCTTGTCTTTAATGTTTTCTTACGCCACTATGGCGTGTTCTCAATTATATTATCGTGTTTACATAGCCTTCACTGAAGTGTAGGCGTGTTGCCTACACCCATTATATTGCCTTCCCATCCCATTTATATTGCCTTCACGCAAGTGTAGGCATGTGCTCAACTTTATTATGATTTTTACTCAACCTTCACTGTTGTGTAGATTTGTTCTCAGTTATATTATCGTGTTTAAATAGCCTTCACTGAAGTGTAGGTTTGTTCTCAGTTATATTATCGTGTTTACATATCCTTCACTGAAGTGTAGGCGTGTTCTCAACTATATTATAATTTTTACATATCCTTCACTGAAGTGTAGGCGTGTTCTCAACTATATTATAATTTTTACATAGCCTTCACTGAAGTGTAGGCGTGTTCTCAACTATATTATAATTTTTACGCAGCCTTCACTGTAGTGTAGATTTGTTCTCAGTTATATTATCGTGTTTTAATAACGCCTAAAGCTGTTCTGTGTTCAGGTGAACGCCAGAACGGACTCGTACGTTCAGGTACAGTCACGCAGCAAGTTCTTCAGACTACCGCGCTCTGAAGACGACTTCATCATGGCCACACACTCCATCTCGGGGTGCGTTGCTTATCTTACTATATACTCTTATTATTGTATAATCTTTTATAAAGAACGCATATAATGGTGATGTGTATAGTGATAGATTGAAGCCGGTTTCTTATGAAGTAAATGAGTTGGCGGTCTCTAATGATGTGAATGAGAAGGTGCACTCTAATGAGGTGAAAGAGGTGGTGCTCCCGAATGAGGTTAATGAGGCAGGTTTCTAATGAGGTTGGTGAGTTGGCTTTCTTTAATGAGTTAAATGAGTTGGCATTCTCTAATGAGTTGAACAAGTTGGCGCTTCCTTTAATGAGTTGAATGAGTTATCTTTCCTGTAATGAGTTGAATAAGTTGGCTTTCTCTAATGAGTTGACTGAGTTGGCTTTCTTTAATGAGTTGACTGAGTTATCTTTCTGTAATGAGTTGAATTAGTTATCTTTCTCTACTGAGTTGACAAGTTGGAATTCTCTAATAATTTAAATTAGATATCTTTCTCTAATGAGTTGAATGAGTTGGTAAATTAATGCGGTGTTGGCAGAGCGTTCCAAGAGACAGGCTCTGACCTGAGCTCGTCGCTACTGACGCCGTCTAGCAACAGCAGCTCTTCCTCCGAGTCCCTCTTCGAGAGAACGCTTCTCTCTTCCACCTCTTCCACAACTTCCTCCTCCACCACACGTCCCAATAACAACAACAATAATAACAATAATAACAACACCAAGAACTCCATGAGTAACATCAGCAGCAACGCTTTACTGGACTCGCAGCTATCGCCTGCTGCTGATAAGTTCAGCGGCGGTTCATCAGCGGGCAACCAGCAACTGCGCACGCTGCTTGAGCCCGTGAGTTGCGGGGATTATTGTTGATTTGTTCAACATGGCTCGTATTTCTGGTATACGTCGTTTTTATATGCGTTCATCGATTTCTATATATAGTATTCATCGTTTTTATATGAGTATAAGTATATTATGAGTCCATGTAGGGGAATAGGTATTTATTACACGTATATTATTAAAAGATTCTTGTTATTGTTAGCGCATTTTCTCATTTATGGAAAAAATGCACTATTGTGCTCGCCATGTCCGTCTGTCTGTCTGTCCGTACGTCTGTTCGTCCGTCCGTGACTTCAAGTTTTCGTCGACGAGAAAATGTGCTCTCTGTCACTCACTGCTGTGAGTACTGAGTTATATTGTTCTTATTATTCTTCAACATGGCTTGCATTTCTTGTATACATTTTTTTTATATGCGTTCAGTTACTCAGTGGGACTTCAACTCTATTGTGTAATACTGTTCGAATTGAATTTTGTGTTATATTCTGTTGAATTCTATCCTGTTATAGTGTTCTATTAATGATGATAAATGATTATACTGTTGTTGACTTAACAGCCACTGGACGACTTCAAGGACGAACTGCTGCTCAGCAACGCGGCGCTCAACGTCAAGAAGGAATCGCCCACGTCTTTCTTAGACCAAATGTCTGATGACTTGGCCCTTGACATCAAACCTGACATCAAAAGCGAACCCATCAAAGATTACATCAAGAGCGAGTTCAGGTCTCCACACGGAATGTATTCCTCTGGCGGTAATGGCAATTCCTCGTCTTCGTTTCCTAATTCCTCAAGCAGCAGCAACACTGCCAGTAATTCCTGTCCGTTCAGTAATCCCTTGAGTAGCCCCAACCCTATGACCCCCACCCACAGCTCTTCCCCTTCCCACATCCCCGGTATGTTGGCTTCTGGGAATTCCTCAACAGGAGGGATGGGTAACTCGTCGGGGAATGGCCGCAGCAGCGCCAATAACATCCGTTCCCCAAGCCATGATCCCCAACGGGGAGTCAAGAGGCCAAACGAGGAAGGACATGACGGTAACCCAAGCAAGCAGAGCGCTGGTAAATTTGAATCCCTCGTCAACACTTCCCCTCAGTCTGCCTCATCACCTTCCCCTCTGTCTCATCCCCATACACCGCATGCGGGGACACATCCTCCCCACGGCAGGCCACATACCCCACTGGGACGACCTCATACTCCCCTTGGGGGACCTACCACTCCCTGTGGGGGACCGACTACTCCTCTTGGTCCCGGTACACCTCACCCACCTGGAGCCTCGCATGGCAGACCTCTCACTCCCCAACACCCAGGGTCTGGGGGTGTCCCTAACATGGCTGTACAACAACAGCAACAACAACAGCAACAACAACAACAGCAACAACAAAGGCAACAAATGCAAGGCGGAGCGCACTACAGCGATAACAAAATGCTGCGTACGCTGCTTTCTACTGAAGGAGTTTCCGTGAGTTGTCCAGCTATGAGTTAGGCAATATTGTTGTAGGGTACGTCAATTGATATGTATTTATATTATTCAGTTTGTAGTGTTTCTGCTTCCAAATTGCTGTGTCATCGCATGAAACAACATCACATTGAGGAATATAATTTTAAAAATATTGCATAAACAACCATTTCGTCCAAAACCACCACGCTAATGACTCGCTTTAAATGCCATTATAACAATATTCAACTAGAGCATCGTATCAGAAACTATCATATCATCATGCATCAAATAAATTCCTTGCTACTGAGACCCGCCGCGCGAGACTCAGTGCCCACTGCGCGAGACTCAGTGGCGAGACTCAGTGCCCACTGCGCGAGACTCAGTGCCCACTGCGCGAGACTCCGTGCCCACTGCACGAGACTCAGTGCCCACTGCACGAGACTCAGTGCCCACTGCACGAGACTCAGTGCCCACTGCGCGAGACTCAGTGCCCACTGCACGAGACTCAGTGCCCACTGCACGAGACTCAGTGCCCACTGCACGAGACTCAGTGCCCACTGC